CATACTTTCTCCATTTTTCATTATAGACACTGTCTACCTATGCTCCATCAAACATTTTTTCATAGAAACAATATATTGGCATATAAGCCTTCCTTCTGCTTAGGGGCTGGCAGGAGAGACATCTGTTCCCAAGGCAACTTCAAGACAGTTGGTTTTTTGTGTGAGTTCTTGTTGCCACAGCCTAAACATTGTGGTGTTTATCAAGTTCTTATTGTATTCTCATTGCCCTAGTAATCCTGCTAACAGTAAACATCTGAAAAAATTGCTTTTAAAAATTGAGAGAAATAAAATAATCAGCTTCACTGTCCTTTCAGAACTAATGCTCATAATTTTTTTTACCTGCTTCACTGAATGTATGAGTTGGCATATGAAGTATCTGTTGCAGAGGTAAGAGCAGGAGTGCTGTGTAGAGTCTTAATGATGTGGGGTAAAATAATTTACTGCCACATGCATATTTGGATATAGAATCCTGCCTGCTAACAAATATGTGTTTGTAGATCACCTGCAATGTTTAAACTGAATAATCACTGACTGATTTGGCCTCTTAACTTTGCAGATATTTTCTCAGATTACTCTGTCTAGGTCAACCTGTGAAACTGGCAAACATTGATGAAAGTCTGACACTCCTTCTCACACAAGTCTGGAAAGCTTCTGCCTTCTCCAAATATCTGGACATTGCTCTCTACCTAAGACAATGAAAATCTATCATTTTTCAGCCAGACACACACATCTATCCTGCTGTTGATCCATCTGCACTCTGTGTTATAAGCCAATTGCTCCTCTCACCTAAGGTCCTTGGAGTAGAATTCATTACAAAAGATGGTAGCTATAAAGAGCACATACTAGAATTAACTTTAGGATTAATATAAATCCTGTATCAAAAAATACATCTTAAACCTGCTTTTTATAATATCTTGTGTGAAATGGCAAGGAGTAAATAACAGGTAACTTAGAATCACAGAATGGGTAAGGTTGGAAGGGACCACGGTGGGTCATCTGGTCCAACCTCCCTGCTCAAGCAGAGTTGTCCTAAAGCAGATTGCACAGGATTGTGTCCATATCATTCTTGAATATCTCCAGTGAGGGAGACTCCACGACCTCTCTGGGCAATCTCTTCCAGTGCACGGTCACCTGCATGGTGAAGAAGTTCTTCCTCATATTCAGTGGAACTTCCTGTGCATCAGTTTCTGCCCATTGCCTCTTGTTCTATTGCTTGGCACCACCAAGAAGAGCCTGGATCCATCCTCTTGATACTCTCTCTTCAGATACTTATAGACATTGATGAGGTCCTCTCTGAGTCATCTCTTCTCAAGGCTGAACAGGCCCAGCTCCCTCAGCCTTTCCTCATAAGAGATGTTGCAGTCCTTTGTCAGCCTGTCTTTTACGCTCTGATTCAAAACAAACCAGACAAGGTAACTTATCACCTTATTCTTTAAGAATCTTTCAAAACCTATGTAAGCAAGGAGGCAACTAGCATTCTAGACTGTGCCCCCTGTTGTTACATAGCTAGCAAGCCTGGGATTTCAAAGTGGTCTAGACTTCATGGCTACAGAGCAGGAGGGAGAATGACCCCAAAAATTAATCATGAGCTTGGATGCCTTTGTGATGTGGCATTTAAGATTTCATAATATGTTGAGTTATTAATAAAGTTTTAAGTATAATTTTTGGAGTTTCTACATGTCCTTAAAAAAATAAAAGAAAAAAAAGAAAGAAAGAAAAAAACGCAGTCGCCTTTTCTTTACTTCCCAGTTCTTTCCAAAATTTTACATGGAAAGAATATTCTAACTTCTGATGGCCCTCTATCCTTAGGTAGCTCTGGACTGTGGTTATCACCAATGATTAACAATTATTTGAATAAGGTGCAAGCAGGTTAATAGCATGTTACTCCTCATTTAGGCTTTGATTCACAAAGCGCTTTCTCACATTTACTTAGTTGTTGATTTATTGGGTGTTAGAGATCCTGCATTAGTGGCTGTAGGTGCTCTAACATCTGATCAAGAAGGGAATTAAAACCCTAACAATAAAGACATGCATCTTGATTCATGAATAAACTGAGGGTGGGGAAACCTTCCTTGACTTCTCACTAACCCTTTTTATAGCTCTGTCTGAATGTGGAACAGATGGGGTGACAGAATGCTTTCCTGCAGCACCCCACACTGCAGAACTTACAGGAACAGAAGCAGCAACTACAAGTAGATATCAGGGTCTCTTGGAGAAAATAGATCAGGTGTCAGTGAGATTCTCATGAGTCTTTTCAGTAGTCTCTTGTAATGCAAAGTATTGCTGAGCTGAGGTAATCATTGTAGTGTTATCAAGAAATAGCACAGGGATATATATTATGTATTTAGCAAAACGAAATGTAGCAATGGTAACCTAATGCGACTGTGGTTAAACTCAGTGTTCTTTTACCTCAGCATGTAAGATCAGGTGTGAGCTGAGTAGAAAAATTGCCTGATGTATGTGACTGAATAGCAGTCTCTGATTTTGAAAACTCATGCACTTCAGTAGTGCTTTGTGTCTGCACAGTCATTATGGGCATTCTGTCACAGTGTTAGCTGTCTGAGAGCTGATCTTAGCTGATCATCGGGCATCCATTTTGTCAGTGAAGTGTCTGATGCTTCCAGTGGAATGTTCATCTCACCTCTGTCAGGTGTCTCTACGCCAAACCCATTCACAAAGAACAATTTTCAGAAGGCCCTTTACTCCCACCCCCTCTCCCCCTTCTTGAAGTAAGGATCTTAAAGACTGATTGAAACAATGCTGAATAAAATAATTTCAGGCATATGTCTGTTAATTTCATTGCATTCCTTTGGCTCCTACTGCTGGAATCATTGAGTATTTGAATGGTACTTTGGCTCTTTAGAAGCAAGGAATTCAAAATAATTTTAATATTAAATACAAGGCCTGCTGTTTGTATGAGTGCAGTTTGGGTTGCCTTATTTACATGCATACTTTTCAGGTGTGCAAGACTAATTTGTTCTTCAGCAAAATTAGATTAATGTGGAACATGTTAGTCTTTGTATGCAGTTCCTCATTGAGTGTCAGCAATGCAGCTTAAGCTGTACAGAGGGAAACAAAGCTGTGGTGCTAAAACTGAGTTTTGTCTGTTAAAACTTGAGTAAGAGTTAAGTGTGCTTTAGGTAAATATGTCGAAGCCACCTGCTGGAAATCATTTTGGCTTTGCAATGTTCCAAGAGTCCTGTACTTGTTGGATCTGAAAATAAATACCATGTTGCAATTTGTAGCTTGTGGTACCATCAGTGATTCAGTTTCAAGCTAAAAGAAGGCTTGAAAATGGTGTCTCTTCTAGAAGACTGAAAACACTGTGGGAATTTGAGGCTGTAAGAATATTCTGTGGCTATGGAAAAAATCCAGAATTTTAGTTAAAAACCATTTATCAAAAAATAAAATAGAATTTGCCTTAATTTTTAAGAGATCTTTTGGAAACTCTCAGAGGTAGTTTGCTGATAGCTGCAGCATAAAAATAATTTAATAACACTTTATTCACTGCCAGTTGTCTATTTCCATAGTTCTCAAGAAGTTTAACGTGCTTTTTTTTTTTCCACAAAACTGACTGCATAATAGCAGCAGAATTCAGATAGTTTCTGAAGAACACTAAGTTTTTCAAGCAGCGGAATGTCTGATTTGTTATAAATACAAGAGAATACAGCAATATACATGTTACGTGAGAGGTACAGTTATTCAGACTTCTTGTAGAGTTTAACTGGAATTCTGTTTTGGTATTTTGTTTACTTGTATTAATTAGTACCTTGAGTCTCCCATTATGAAAACAGTCCCCTGTGCATACCTTCCGACTTACTTCAACATAGCCAGGCAGTTTGTATTTTTAATTTATTTTTTGAAGCTATATTACATTACAAATTCTGATTTTTCCCTTTGTTTTATTCTGGGCCTGATGTGGGAATAGTGCAGAGGGAGAATGACTTTTTTTAGCCTTCAGTATTTTGGTCTCCAGCGTGTCTGCCCACTTACTGAAGTAAATTATAGTGGGCAGTGTATATGTAACGATACAGCTGAGACTGGCCAGTATACAGAATGCCATTGGAAACATTTTCTGTATCTATCTTTTTCTCTCTAAAAGAGCCTGAATAGAAGAGGTATTAAAGCTCCTAATCCTAAAATGAAGCTATGCCATAAACCAGTAGTAGATAGAAAATAATGTCTAGTTTATCCTGTGACATTCATAGGTTAAAGTCGGCTCTTAATGTAGGATGTTGTGCTTTTTCTACAGTTGTAGTTTTGTCTGTAGTGTTTTACTTTTTGTTTGTTTGTAAGTACTGTATAGAGTTAGGATATCTAAATAAATTCAACCTTTGTGTGCACTTTACATTGTTTCAGTGCAAACCATTAAAAAGTGTGTTGATGTATAGTGACTTGATTCACTACCTCTTGATTCCATTGGGAGTTTTGATATGGATTCCTGTGGATGCCAAGACACATACCCTGATTCTGTGCATAGAAATACAGCTAGTAACATTACGAATGTCAGTGTTGTCTCTAGAGACACCTTAAATCACTGGATGAAAACAACATCTGCTTATAAACCATTGAAAAAGACCTGCTAACTTTGGCTGCTTAGAAAATACTTGTAGAGACCTACTCTTTACATTTTTCTGTTTGCACAAAGGAGTGAATAAACCTTATAAGCAGCTTTTAAAAATATTTCCACGTTCCTGTATGGGAATAATTTTTATTTTATAATTTCAAGCCCGAAAGTTAATCACTAGTTTTTTATCCCAGAGCATGTGTTTACAACAGAGATACTAAACAGTTGAAAATAGAGTGGCTTATAATGGAAGTGACAGCTCATCTTTAACTTTGGAAGGACAAGCAGTACCAATTTAATTAAAGCTGTGTTAAAATAGGACTGCCATTTGTATCACAGTGGTTCTCTCTCCACGCCTCCAAAAGCCTTGCTGCCATTTTGTACCACACATTCCTATCTTGTGCAAATTAATAGATCGTTTTATTTCCCGCAGGAAATCTGAAGACTTTTATAGCAAAACCTCCAGTGTCAAAATGAACACAGGTATGCTGCATCTGTGAGATTTTTCTTTTATGTGTTGTTTTGTGAGCAGAGAATCCCAAATTTATTCAGATTTTCATTAACAAATTGTATTTTAGTTGTTGCTGTACTCAAATTAAGCAGGATATTTTAATAGTGTGCCTGCTTATGTGCATTTGTATTCCATATATAAAATTTACATACATGTTTTTCTATGTATGGATATATATGGATACATGAAATATAAATGCATGTTTAGCCTTCTGTGCTTAAGTTAATATCAGTTTCGTGTGTTTATGTTTTATGTGAAAATACATATGGACATAGCATCTATGAAAAAATGGTGTTAAAGCATCACATTTTCCTAAGAAAATGCACATGCTTTAAAAATGCTTTATTTTCATTCTGTACTGTCACTTAATTAAGGGACATATAAACACTGCCCTTATTATTAGCTACACTTGTATATCAGGTGAGGATAACTATTTTGTACTTACAGAGGTTTGTATTTTCTCTCAAGTTGATGTGACAGATGTATTGACCAAATTAAGTACTCTATAGGAAGTTATCTTCATGATCTATGACAGCATACTAATATTTGCTCCTGAATTATTGAAGTCAATAGATAATGCTGCTGTTTGTGCTGAAAGTGGGAATAGGCCTCTTGAAAGCAGACTGCTGAAATCCTCACCTTGCTCATGTCAGGTGTAAATTTTCAGTTGCAGTCAGCTCTTTAGGGTCCATAGGTGAACTGTCTGGTTTGCAGATTAACTGTGGTGCAAGGATAGACATATCCATCCTTTCCAGACCAGTGGTTTTATCATTGACGATAGTGCTGCACCATGACAGCTGACATGATAAGTGGGACTGGAGGACCTGAACTACTTTGAAGCCTGAATTTCAGCAGCATGCTCTAAATCAAAGGGATTACCTTTTCCATGGTATAGGTTGCCGTTATATGGATCACTGAATTAATCAGGCTTCGTGGCTTCCTGTTGTCGCAAACAACTGGAACTCTGTAGGACCCATTTTTTTTAACGGATCTGTTAGTATGAAGTTAAAATGTATTGGCTTACTTGAAACCATGACATTTGTAAGTATAATAAGACAGAGAAAATAATTTTCTCTGTTGAGTTTGTGCATTTTTGCCCCAAAGTTGTGGTTGTTCTTAATTATTTTTCAAATGCTAACCAGGGTGGTTAGAGATAGACATAAGATTTAAATAATCTGTGGCTGAATGTCTTCTGTTGAGGATTGGGAGTCTTCTGATCACACAGGAGCCTTGAAAACAGACTTTAAGGACCTGAACACACCTGAAATCCTTTCCAGTTACTTAAGGATATCATGACTGTAAGCTGAACTTTAGTCTGCTCTGCACTTACACAGTGAAAATATTTTTCATTTTATGTATGCTTGATATTAATGTGCATGTTACCAGCTGCACTAAAAGAACATGTAGACAACAAATGTGGTATTTCCTATCAGTTCTGTTGATGTAGATTGTTTCCTGACTGTAACAAAAAAATAAAATAAAATAACCTGTGAATAGGTACAAAAGTGAACATCTTGCACCTATCTTTGCACCTATATAGAGCATCACTTTATTAAGGAAGAGAGTGACTCAGGTGGAAGCTGTTTTGCATGGTGTTCTGGTCTAGTTGTTTCTCTTTTTCTTTTTTTTTTTCTTTTTACACTATGCTGGTTTTGAACATGAGTGATACAGTTTTGGTTTGTTTTTTTTTATTTCACTACTTCATAACAGGAATTTGTGCATGATGCAGTTGGAGGTTATCAGATACTATTGATTTGCCACTAGTTTGTTTTAAAAATATGCATTTCATTAATGACTCCTGCAGATAAATGAGCACTCTGATGCCAGTAACTGCTGGAGTGGCAAAGCTAGTGTATATGTGACTTTAAAAAGAAAAAGTAAATCTACTGCTTAGACTGGGTTCCTCTAATCCTGTGTTCCCTGTGGCTGCAGACTTGGCAGTCTGTCTCAGCAAACCCTGAGGAAGATATTTTTGTCTACAGAGAAAATGTTTTGAAGAGCTTTGGTTTTCAATACTCTACCATATATGGGAGGCATTTCTTACCATTTGATGTTAATTCTGTACCACATGTTAGGAAGGAATATTCAACAGCATAAGGCAATGAAGCATTTTTGCAAAAGCAAAGAAATAGAGGTAAGAAGAGGTTTTCAGAAGTACCAAAGGTACTTTGGGCTCATGTTTCCTTTTGGTGTTCAAATGCTGTCATAATTTAAAAATAGTAGTCTAGTAGAATGTGTACCTTTTTAAACTGAGACTAAGCAATCATCAACAGAATAGTATTTTAAACTATTCACAGGGGCTTTCTTCAGTAAGTCTTCAGGTATTTTACAGGTTGATGAGCATTATTACCGTGGTGACTTGACTGACTAAATGACAGAAAACATGAGCCAGCCATGAAGCTTACATCTGATTAAAATGCAGGATAAATGTGCTTACTGTTCATTATACATATGTGCATGCATAGTTGACATTGGGGAAGAATTAATTGCAATGAAGTATAATAAATGGATACAAGTTAATAGGCTAAAATAGATTCTTACTGTCCATCTGTAAATATTTTGGCTGAATTTCACACAGATCATTCTTGATAAATGCATCTAATTTTAAAGGTATTAAACAAGATCACTGTTTGCATTAGATGAAGTACACAAAGAGCAGCCAAGAGTGAAAAGTATGCAATTCTGGAAGACTGCAAATATTTTCTGTTTGTTAAAATTATTAGTGGAAGTCATCACATGGACTAATCTCTTACATTTTGTCTGGGAGACAAGAACAGAATTTCTTGGATCCATGCCGAGTTCCTGAATAGATTGTGAAACCACTTTTAGGTCGCTAAAGCAAATTAGGTTGACTTCAGTGTTCCAGGCATTCTACAAAACATTTAGTTTTTAGCAGCACCAGAGAACCAAATAATAGTAGGTTCACCTGTCAGTGTAGATCATATGATAAAAGTTTGTCCGAACACCCACAAAGGAGTTCAGAGAAACAGTGGCAGGAGGGAAAGCCCAAGTAATAGCCTGCCTTGCCAGGCTACTCCCAGGCCCCTCATAGGAGCCATCAAAGGCCTATTTCCACAAGCCTAGAGAAGCACAGGGACACAAGGGCAGGCAGGAACACAAATTAAGGAGTCCCAGGGAAGAGAGGGCCTCCCTTGTCCAGGGCCCTCTCAGGGCTGTCCTAGGAGAGTCTGTGCCCTGTGGTCCAGGCATGGAATGAGTGGCAGACTCAGTGTCTGAGCCCCACTGCTGGAAGGATCCACCCTGTATATGTGTGCTGTTCTCCCTAGTGGACCTTCATCCTGCTCAGCCAGAGAAGGGAGGGGGATGAGGCCATTGTGCCATCTGTGTTACTGTGAGTGCTCGGAGCTGTGTGTCCAGCCATGTATGTGCGTGGTGTATACATGTGTCTGCTGGGAGCACATCTCCAGTCTCCCTGCTGGTTGGACCTGAGGACACAGAGAGGCAGCAGCCTTGTCTATCTTGGACTTTTGGATTCAGTGCTATATATTTGCCTCAGGTCAAAATGCAAATAGGGAGTAAGAGGTGCTGGTCTAAAGACTTCTAAACTTGAATATGCTGTGCAGAAAATGGGAAAGATGATACCATTTGCAAGTACAGTGAATAGAATAATAATCAGCAAACATTATGTTTGGATGCCATTTTTCTTTTCTTTGAGCTGTAAGAGCTTATTAAAAACTTCCTGCCCCAGCTCCTCTATTTCACCTCTTCACACAAAATCACCATCCTTTCATTTTTGCCAACTTTATTTATACCGCTGTTTTTACTGACTCTCTGAAACAGTCTTTTCAAGAAACCCACCGCTTGTTCTTAAATGAAAATGATGTTGTTTTGAATTGGCTCCGTCCTACTTTGGAGCAGGACCCAACAAATAGACTATTTGTCAAATGGAGATACAGCTTGTTTAGGGTGATGCTGTCTGTCGTGGGAGCAGTTGCTGAAATTATGAATTCAGTGGAAAATGGTTAAATGTGGAAAGAAACAGAATTAAGGGAGCGAGAGAAAAAGAAGATGGAATTGCATTTTAGGCAGCTGTTTTGATTGTGAGTTATTGCCCAGCTTCATATTCTAGTATTGCTTGCAGACATTAGCTGGTTCAAGTCTCCTTTGCTTCCATATTAAAGCAGTAAGACGGGGCTCATACCTGAACAATTTTTCAGGTTAGAAGAATTGTGAATACGTGTATACATATTTGCCCACATATTTTTTTATATATGCATATATTTTATATAGATTGCCTCACCCTCATATTTTCCTTAAGTAACAGCTGTGCATTATTAATTGCTTAAAGTTTTCAAGTGAAATGAGCAGAAGATCAGTCTCCCGTACTGTTTCTTAACACTCTGTACCCCAGATGGAGGGCTTTTTGGTGTTATTTGGACTTCAAGAATCTGGGTGAATATAGCTAGTATTTACTGGCAATTTCACGTACTGTGAAAAAGGAATACAGGCTTGAATAAGCCTCTTGAAGTTAAATGTGTAAGGCCATGCAGATAAGGGAAGCAGTTTGTAAACTGCTTCTTTTGAGGCAGCATGCAGGTTCTTCTGATTCTTGCTCTGATACAATGTCCTTGACTTAACAGGAGCCTGGCCTGAACAAAGATAGGAAGGTGAAGTCCATCATGCATAAAAATGTGCTTGGCCACACACATTCATATTCTATTAGAAATTTTGCACAACTCAATCTGGTATCAATGTACGGTTATGTCTAAATTGAGTACTAACTGGCTCTCATTATTTTGTACAGCTACTGATAATTAATGGAGGTACAGACTTGCATATAGGCTTCTACATATAAGGGTAAATATTGTATGCATCTATCTATATAGTAAGTTACAACATCTGTTTTATTTAATTTGTATGAAGCCACTTCAAACACTTTGCTAGATTATGGATCCAATCAGTATAAAACTCTGACTCATTTCAGTTACATTAAAAATTAAATTGAAGCAGAATTTCCTGAAGTTACAGTAATTAAATATGCATTGTCAGCTTTCTTGTTGTGCTCCTTTCTTCCCACTTCAGTTTCTCTATCGTGAAATTCAGGAAGGTAGCTCTTGAAAAACTACAAAAAAGTATCACTTTGTTTTAATAAAAAATGTGACAGTATAACAAAATTGTTTGCTTGTTAGCTTGTATTAAATACAGTATGCTGTCAAAGTCTACCAATATTCAGGTTAGAACAGAACTTCAGTATCAACACATCATCAAATCTCCTTGGAATTACCTCTAGTATATGTAGATGGTGGGGGAAAGAGAATGCAAGAATGGAAAATGTGAATTTAATTACCGTTGCCATTCTATATTTATGTAAGCAAACCAAAACAAATGGGCAAGATTTGATAGCCATTGACTTTGTTTCACTTGTACAAGGCTAGTAATTGATGGCAGGCAGTGTATTGCGTTCAACTACTGCTGACTGAAATCATTTGACTTTTTGCCTCGATCTTTGGAGTTGGCAATGGGTCTTTGGTACTGCTTATACCTGAGGCAGTGGCTCTGATGTTTGCCAGTGTTAACAACTACTTAATGTGTCTCCTGCAGGACTGGTGGCCAGAGGGCTCTGCTAATTCAGGGGAATATTGGAATGAGCAAAGGAATGTCAGGAGCTTGCTTCTTTTGCAGATGTGGGTTAAAGATGACTCTGTGGCTCATGTTATCATAGGAAATAGGTTGCAGGTCTTCTTTAAGTATAATTTAATAAACTTTCGTGTCATAGGTCACAGAAATAAAAAAGGCCTTTATAATACTTGTATTATATGAAATTTCAGTAATATCAAATATGAAAATTAAAATAATTATTATAGTGAAGAGCAAAAAAAATTCTAGGTAAATGTAATATATAAATAGAGTAATATTTATTAACTTGCTTGTACAACTATGATAGAGTTGCTAAAATGCTAAGTTGTGGGAAAGATGTCTTCTTATAATAACAGAGTATTTCTAAAATGCAATGACAGCTCCAGTGAGAGAGGAGCAGAGTAAGGAAAAAAAGACGTGCAAGATCCAGAAGAAAGGGGTTTTTTTCTTTCCTCATTGTTTGAAATTATTTTAAATTTCTAGTCATTCCCTCACAGTGTTATTCAGTTCCAGACATATATTTGTTTTATCTTCCATTAGATAAAAAAGGGGCAAAGGGAGAACAAGAATGTTCCACCAAAATGAGAAAAAAATATGCCTTTCCTAGTAATTTTGTTTCTTGAACATAAAGGATCCAGAAGACTTAACAAAAGTGCTTTGTCAGCTTATCAAACAGAAGCTTAGTTTTTGAATGATGTCTTCCTAATGCATACAATGAAATTATTTTACAGTGCAGATTATTGATTAATATTACTCTGGAATGCTTAATCCTTTATCTTCATTACTTTGTTTTTACTAATTAGCAGTAATTAAGCAGTCTTTCAGGTAACAGAATGTGTATATTTCCCTAGGGGATTAATTATTAAATATTACTTTCTTTGCTTATTTTCTGTGAATTTTATTGTTGTTTAAAGCTTGTGAAATTTTATGTATTCTGCTAATCTGCCAAACTTGCAAATACACACATTTCTGCAGCAGTTCCCTAACTGCATGCTTATTTTCATATATGTTTGGCATATCTCACACTGTGATTTGTTGCATGTGCTTGCTCCCTTTGTCTGGGGCTGCTGCCTGTATTGTTTTGTGCTTCCAGATAGCGGTGGGTGTGCTCGCAAACGTGCTGCAATGTCTGTCACATTAACAGCTGTGAAGAGAGTTCAGAGTTCTCCAAACCTATTGGCCTCAGGTATAACCACTAACCAGCGAGAGACTACTTCTAAATGGCTTTTTTTATAGTGTTATGTATTCCTGCCATATTACTTTGAAAGGAGGAGAAGGGTAACCCTATTTTCTGTTCCTCTGACAGATCTATTACTTCTACAATGCTCTTTAAAAAATGGTCTTAATTTCTCTCTGTCAATGCTTAGTAGCCATTAATGAAAAAAAAAATAGGAAGACTGAGGAAAAATTAGTTATTTATAAATTAATTTTTCCCTTGATACATATTTTGGGTCTCACGTCACTTGTTTTTTATTCAAGATAATGTAGCATGAAAGAGATGTTTTGTTTATTACAAACTTTTTATATTGAAATTTGATTTTAAAGCATTTCTCTAAGGAAAAGAATCTGAATGTTGTTGTAAAATGATTTTCAGAAGCCAGATTAACTTTTAAAAAATCATTTATCAAGCATGTTTTCCTAAAAATATTCAAAACAATAAAAACACAGAATATTCAGTAGACAGGCAGAACTGCTTCTTATCAATACCCCTGTATGGTTTTGCAAAATTAATTTATTTCTAACACAAATTAGTATTGGATATTTCTTTTTCAGGGTCTGATTCTCAGTCTCCAGATTCAGGTAAATAAAACACTGTGTTATTTATGCATCAGTGCAATACCAGTTACAACAATCTTCTATTTATTTAATTTCATTACTCTATACTTCCTCATTCTTTAGGGAAAGCGCTGCTGAAACTGTAATCATAATTGCTAGTGGTTAAGACTTCAAATTCAGGTCTCATTTGAAAGCAGTTATTTCCTATAACACAGAATATGTTGTCAGGAAAATGAATTGTGTGGGAGAAAACAGACTGCTAATTTGCCACCTTTAGCTTTATCACTGTGACACCATTCAGTGGTACTTGCTATTTCCTTTTTAGTGTCTTACTCAGGATTGCAAGTTCTGCCCACCTCATTTAGCAGCCTGCTCACATAATGTGTTAATTTTCCCAGCTTCTTACAGTATTTTGTCTTCAGCATCTCCCTCTATGTTTGGGCGACGTCTTGAGGGCATTGCAGGTCTGAGAATAGAGAAAAAAACCTGGTTGGTTGGTTGGCTGGAAAACTGAGGTGTCATTTGGATTTGGCAATAAGATACGTTAGTGGAACAACTAATTGGGTATTGTGGTGAAATTTTGTGAAACTGCCATGACCAACTAAGTTTATATGAGCTGGGATATTTTTCAAAATCCAACACAGCTGTGAAGTTTAAGAACCTAATCTGTGAAAGTATTTCAGCCTGCTTTGTACAGGGGCTGAAGGACCAGTATCCCAAAAGTACTCCCAAGGTTAAAATCTATAGTCCTATGAAAGTTGTGGGGAGATCTCAAACTGCCATTACCAGCAGAATTTTCAGTGCTTGAATTTTCTAAATTTTAAAGACCAATATTTTGTAGAGTGGCAGCTTTTCTGTGTTCTTTTAACTTCCATGGTAATAACAGCAGCCGTGTCAGTTGTGTAGTAGCTAAAGTTTTCCACAGTTTGTTTAGTAGCTGAGTTGCTGTGTTGAGAGCAATATAGAAATCTGCTAATCACACACCAAAAAATGGTTTGATTCTTTTTTCTTTACAAAAGCTTGGAGATCTTACAATAATGGAAGTAGAGAGACACTGAATGGAGACGCTAGCAGTTCATCTCTTTCAGCAAAAGGTTTTAGGAGTGTGCGGCCAAATCTGCAGGATAAAAAATCACCAACTCAGGTAAAACTGAACAGACTGAGTTTCATGCTATGCCATTTGTGTGGGGGTTTTTCTGGGGGGACAGCAAATATAGATGGGATACCTCTATGGAACATTGTCCTGAAGTCTTCCAGATATGGGTCATTACAAACTGGTTTACTGCATAAATAAAGCATTCTCCACACAGGCTGTATGCCTCTAGGTTAATTACCAGAAATTGCTTTCAATGAGCAAGACAAACATCTAAATAAAAGTAGGTCATACACAAGTAAAAGCTTTCTAGGAGTATTCCCAGACTTCAAAGAGTATTTATTAATAGTTTACACTTGGAAAAATGCACCAGTCATCAAAATATCTGAGAATAAGGGTTTATTAATTATAAGGTAGAAAATGCTTCTGCCTGTTTTGCAGAACAGTGTAATTGGAGCATGCTTAAGTAAAAACCAGACTTGGAAACATATTTATCTGTCCAAAAAATATCAACTTACCAATTTTAATACTGTCTCTGTTACTACTTTAATTCAAAGGTTTAAGAGGCTCTGTGTGTTTTATATATGTATCTTACCTGTGAATAATAGCTTGCGATCTAATATCATGGAGTACTTACCTACCTGAACAATTTCACAGTAATAACTCTTATGCAGTGTAAGAATTATTTTTTAAAAGAAAATAGATGATTGTGGGCTCCCTTCTGATCCCTGTTTACTCTGAACAAATGGAACATCTGGCTTTCTAAACAGAAGCTGTACAGCACTGCACAGGAAAAGGTGGTGGGAATCTGACCATTTTATTGTCCATTGAATTGAACAATGTTGAGATGAAGGCTCTTAAGTTGCCAGTTCCTTTATTTAAAGATAAAAGTCAAACTGCGTTGTATCTCCTGCTAACATTTACTTTCTTTCTGTTTCTTCTTCAATGTTATTTTGCTGTGTGTGGATGCTTTTGGCAAATAAGGCACCTCTGCCACCCCCTAGAAAAGCAAGAGTAACTAATCACAAGAATGAAATTAATCTCCAGGCAGTAACAGCTGGTCCGGCTAAATACCATCCCACAGATACTGCCTATTACACTAATGAGAAGTCTGTTGAGGAGACAATGTCATTTCAAATATCTAACACAAGTGTGTCCTATGCACAAAAAATCATTAAACCACTGTCCTCAAACTCCAGTGCAGGCACAAACACAGTAGCTGGTATAAGTACTACTTTCCATCAAGGCCAGAGGCAACAGTCTCAAAAACGTAAGGTATCTACCCTGAAATTAACCCGGACACGTGACCCAGCAAGTAGCGTTCATTGTAATTCACAGCAACAGCCCGAGCCTGTTGAAGAACCAGTATTTCCACAAAGGCCTGTCTCACCTGCCTGTAACCCCATGCCTGAGATACACACAGCATCTCTTTCCATTCAGATAGCTTCCTCCCCTGACAATAAAGCAGAGCCTGAAATCCAAGAACATCCACCTAGTATTTCTCCAGACACTTCAAAGATGTCTTCACAGGATTTGGGACAAAAGTCTACAGTTCTTCCTTCTTCACAGGCTGCAGAATGCCATGTGGTATATTTAATTTTTCCATCTTTTATTTTAGATCTTCGTGAATCACTTAATAACCATCTGTTTAGTTATACTTACATTATCAAAGTTAGATCTTATGTTTTCTGGGTAAAACTACCTGTCACATGGATCCAAACAGAAATGAACAAAACCTGAAGTTTTTGGAAGATTATTTTTAAAAGATTAATTATCTAGCTGAGCTGGGTGGCAGGCTTTGTTCCTCTGTGAGTACTTTATGGAGGTCAAATGCACTACAGGAAATGAGTGCATTGTAGACAATGCATCTGCTTAAGTGGCTCTTCCTAGAGAGGGTCTCATTAGACCATTATGCTGCCATAGATGCTGGAAGGATCGAGTATGGATAGAAAAGGGTTAAGTTGATTGTGGGGTGGAGTTCTACAAGTGCAGCTCTGCCAGTTTGCTAGGCCCACAGAAAATAAATTGTGTCAGTGGGTGCTTTCTGCAAGGCTAGGTGCTGCCATGTGTCCTGTGCAGTTGTGCTCTTAAAAGAAAATGGGCTGATAAAATCTTTTTGTCAACGACCTCCATATGAAACATCACAGGGCACTGAACTTTTAAGTCCCTCTGTTTCCCCTTATGCCTACTGAGATGAAAAATCTTTGTTAGCTGTACTGACCTCATATAGGAGAAATAGGAGTATCAAGCACACAGCATAGGACCAGAGGAGTCTCAGCAGGGTTTATCACCATTCAGAAAGTCACTGAGTCAAATAAAATAAGCCTGGGACCAATAAAGCAGCAGTGAATACACACTAGTCAAAAGGAGAGCTCTGAATAAAATTTGTCATTTCTACTTTGCTTTACTTAGTCACGTTAAGATTTTGCTATATAAAAAGTTAATTATTCTAGTATATCTACTAATATACCAGCTTATCTATGTTGGAAAGCCTTTAGCTGGAGGTAGAGATTGCTATAGATTTAAGCATATGTGCCTCAAAGCTTTGTCTGAGTGCGGATCCCGTCATGGCATATTTGTGTTCATCTAGTTCTGCTGGAAGCAGTGAGGCTACTCTGAATTAAATATGGCACTATTTTGCAATCTGAAAAGTCCATTGACAGCCCTGTTCTCAACAGTAGTAACACATCTGCTTTCCCAGTCTGTTGTTCTTTCAGAGCATCACATTCAACCAGGTCTCTACTCTGGAAGCCTCAAGTATCTGCATTAGCAACAAGATAGTTTTAAAGTTGTAATGTATCTGTTTTCCCCTTCAAGTCCCAAGTAAAAATTTTGATCAGAACAAAGCTCTGTGAAAATATACGGCAGCAGTCTGCAATGCTCCTTTTGAATTGACTCCATTAAAAAGTGGGAGCACAGAAGGATTAATCACATTTGTCTTTTTCAAGACTAGACACAAAACTATCATTTTAAACCCTTCTTTTAGGCGGCATAAAATTAAGAACATTTTGAGAAAAACAAGTTGCTTTACCCTTTAGAAGAACCAGTCTGCTACTCAGTGATTTTTGTCAGGTAGAACAAGTCAGTTCAAGCAAGAGCCACAGTAAAGAAATCATGTCAGAAACAGTAAAGAAAGCAGAGCAACAGCTTTTTCTAGTAGATAGGAAGATTATAAAGGACAGGCTTGCAAGTCTTTTAAATATGGGCATCAGGGGATACTGACAGTAGAACAGGTGTAGGTGTGCAGGTGGGGTCAATGCAACTTCTGTGTCTGTGTTATCTCCTCACTTAAAATTAGTTTTTCAGCCTGTTAGAATATGATGCATTATAAATGCTCAGATAAATTAAATTATCTCTCAAACAGAAAGTAGTTGTATGACAGCTAACAAGGATTAGGGGAAATACTTTTTTATAAACAAGAGTAATTGCAAATATTCAAAGTCTAATCAGAAGGACTAAAAATTTATCTTCTACATACTTTTGTTTAGGATTTTAAAAGTCAAAACATATTTTACAGTTTCTTTTTAATTTAGAATGTAGTATGAGCTGAAAAAAATCAGAAAAGTAGCTGTGGCTTTTTTGGCAATTCTACACTTATTTTTCTGCCTTCTTGGTTTCATTGTGTGGGAGGAACTATCAGAAATTTGGCAACTGGGTTGCTTTGAATAAAACGATAAAAAATTCAGTTATCACAAAGATCATTAAGGAATGTAGCCAACTTTTCAAGCTGTATCCCTTTATTGCTCTCTTGTCTGCAAAATTCAGCTGACATCCTCCATGATGCTCAACTTTGGAATAAATTCTAATGAAGACATATATTTGGCATCACAGTTGAGTCATGGAGCCAGTAGGTTTTGCTGACTGTATTAAAATACCTATCTAAAACTAGAGTACAAATCAGCATGTGAGGTGTGTAAAATTTTGCATCAGGGGAGGTTCCAAAATGAGGACGCCGTGAGCTAAAGTTAGAAATAAAGGCTGAAGCTGTATGTGTAAAAATATTTATTTTCTGACTCAGATCTTGGTTTGAAACCTTGACAGTATTCTAACTAATGCCAAAAATTATGATTTCCTTTAGTGCTGTATATCATGGTATATCATATATATATATATTTCATGATATCAATTCACAATTTTTCCTCCCATAGAAAACTTTCAGTATACTATGCATGATAGTACTTTCATTTTTAAGATTGTTTTAGATTTGCAAGCTCTGCAGGACTTGGTACATGATTTAAAATACTTTTGTACTTGCAGATCATAGGTTTTATGTATCCTCAAGGGACGCTCTCAGAGTGTAAATTAGGCCTACCAGCAACGTTCAAAGCTGCCACAGAAACCTTCAAAAAACAAGTACACTCAGAAAGTTGCATTTCTCCTTCTGCATCTGGGTTTATGTATGTGGAGGAGAATGAGGCGAGATCAGCTAATCATCACTTCTTAAGAGATGGCAAATGAGAAATACTGTTCATCTGTGGATATCTGTGTGTAGTGAACATATACATTTCTGTTATGTTACAAAGTTTGGAAATATACAGTCAAAAGAGAGCTTATATGGTCCAAGTTAATGTATCTTGTGCTCCTATTTGCACTTCATTTCAGAGCTTATCTGTTGAAACTTTAGGAGCAAGCAGAAGTGTGGTATGACTCACTGAATGACATTTTATAAACACTCCTACTCAGAGAAAGGTTAAACCCCTTAAAAATATATATCAAAATAGAAGCATTCAAGTTACTCAATAATAGGGTTTTTTTACTTTATTAGAGTCTCAAGAGATGCTGCTGCTTTGTACCATAGTGCGGATACAGGAGAAATAAGCAAATCTGTTTTAACAGAGAAATTAGTGTTTGTTAGTATGAGATGATGTCCAAGTTTCTTACAAGAAGTTTTAAACTAATGAAGAATTCTGAGCTGCATCTTCAGAAATAATCACTTGATATTTTTATGTTTATTTTGTTTCTGGGTTCCTAAGTTGCCTGTTGTTCTAAATACTGCTCTCTGAAATTGAGGATGCAAAACATTTGTCCTGTTATTTGAATTCCTCAGATGAGTGAACACTTGTTTTAGTCCTGATGTCCCAGAGGAATAAAAACTACTATAGCAGTGTTTCTTTTCCTAGTCTTATAGCTGTAGAAAAATAGATCAAGGAAAATAAGCCTGGAATAAAAGAAATTCTGAATCACTTTTTTTAGTACGTTACTGTTTATTAGGTATTGACAATACATAGAGTGATATAGAAGATGGAGAAGACAAGTTTCAATATTGGGGACAGATGTGAAGCAAAGAAAATTGAGCACATAATTTTCATTTTAAGCTCTGCATCAGTATTCTGGTTTTAAACAAAGACTGAACTCCACCTCCATATAGTGAGTTTTGAATAAGAGGGCTAGGTATAAAAATGGGCATAGAAATAGAACTTGCAGTGTCAGTTTGGAGATTTGACATCACCTTTTAACAATTAAAAATAGAGGTATTTTTACCCATTTGTGCAAATGTATGGGTGTAATTTGATTGTTGACTACTAAACTCTGCTGTGTATTAACAAAATGGGTTTATTCACTTATCTCTGAGTCTCCTTATCTGTGTCTTGACTGTTGAAGCAAGGCCAGTACTTTGGTGTCATTAGTAATTTCATACCACTCCCCACGGATCTTGCATTAAAATGATAGATGACTGGTTTTGAAACCCATATTAGGGTCACCTGTCTACTTCATGTGAATTGGGTAGCAACTGTGTTCTCCAGGCCTAACATTTTACTATTTGAAGGAAGGGAAGCATTGCTAAGGACCATCAGAAAGCTGCACTTGAGGCCTTCAATTCACTTCAAGACTGATGGCATTAATCTATTTCTCAAGTGTCGCTTCACAACCCAAGATAGTTACATAGTCTAACTAGTTTTTCATCAATCTCATTAAATCCTTGTCTGGCATTTAATCTGCGTGACTGCTGCTAGCATTTCTTGTGCTATATCAATAACAAACCTAATCTGAAGCTTGCTGAATGGAACCAGTATTAAACGTTTTCTGAAATGCATTTACCTTGTCCTTCTCATATTTTTTCACTGTGATATATATGAGATTTCATTCACAGTGAAAAATATGGATTAGTAGTAGCCAGTTATATCTGTTTACAATTTACCAAGACTGCATATTTTTTAAATGGTGTAAATCAGTTTTCAAAAACAATGCTGTTTTAAATTACAATTTAAGCCAATTTTTTCCCAGAGTAATGGTTATACCTACAACAGAATTCTATAACCAGGCAGAGTAGAAGTTTCACTCTACAGAGCTGAGAAGCTTCATGTTGGGAATTAGTACCTAGAATTTCTGCATTCCTTCTACCCATATTGTAAGAATAATAACTTTATATTATTTTTAAGAATTTGGCTTGATGAAATCAGCTATTATTTGCCAAACACAGTGAATTAAATTCTTTAAAAACTCAATTTCACTAGCTCTCTGGATGCACCCTGAATATCTGTTCTTGTGTTGTCCATCCCTTCTTTTCTCAAGCATGCAAGAAATCTTCTCAGTTCAAAGCCAGAAGGTTTACTAGATTTCTCAACTCTTCAAAAATTCCTGTTATTTTAACAATATGAGATGAATTCACGTATTTTGGCTCAGTCATATATAACTTTTCTTCTGGGAATGCTGAGAGGATATCCTGTCTCAGGAACTTCAAAGCTTCTTATTGGCTCTGACTCATAATTGCACCGTGATCTCCTGGTTTGTGTATTTTGCTGGAGATCTTGAATTATTACATAGATGATGAAATTCATCATGAATATGATTCTACCTTCCCTTTAGGTACCTGTGAAGTGAAATTACTGTCTCTTATATGTGTATGTAAATGCATACATCTTAAACTCCTGATATATTATGCTGTCTAGCCATCTTAATTTTTCATTAAATTAATTTTACTAGTATTCCATTGTTCTTTTGATGTTTCCATTGGCAAGTTAGATCTCTCTAAAAATTCTATGCCCTTTTATAGTCTATACACTCAATTATTCATATTTTTGATTAAGAATTAATCTGTTCAGATTTCCTCTATGAAAAGATTAAGTTTGAGGGGGTTTGTTCAATTGTAGATTTGAAATATTACTGTGAATAAGATTTGGATTTTAAGCTGTTTGACTAAGTTGCTTCACTGTTTTAACTGCTGATTTTAACAACAGCTTTTGGCTATTTTTGTGTACCCTAGAGGTCCACTAATGCCAAAGATTTCTTTTGAATCAATTGGAACAAGTGATGGATATCTGTTCACATACTTAAGATTCTTTTCTGAAATGCTTATTCATAGGAATGGTCCCACTGACCTCATCAAGGTTATTTGTGTAAATTCTAGTTGATCTCAGCAAGAATTATGCAACTGGACCCCCAGTGACCTCTCATAAGTAGCATAATCTGGGTCGTGTTCCAAGTCTTCCATAAGGGCTTTAGAAGATATTTTCAGATTTTGGATTAAAATACCAAAATGGCATTTTAATCTGATGGTTTGAAACATTTTTTGAATGATTAAAGACATCTGCCTAGTCTAAGCATAGGAAATAACTATATTACTGGTAACAATGTGATATCTATGACTAAATGTTGCTTTTCAAGTAGTAATTACCACACATGGTATCTTATTGTCCTCTATTTTACATAAATTTAAATTCCCAAACACTCTTTCGCAGCAGCTATTCCAGACTTCCTCAGCCCTATCAAAAGTGAAACCATTAGTGCTGAAGTAGGCAGTATTTTGACATAATTCAGGAATTGATTGAAAGCTTGTAGTTAATAGGCAGTATAGAAGGATTTGTGCAGCTGTTTAACAAATATTAGATGCCAACATGCTTTTCATGTATCTTTAATTCAAAAAAGAGTTGCAGATGCAAAAAGCCGGTTGCAGGACTAGTTTAAACTCAGTGCCCTGTGGCTCATTTGAAATAACAGAAGAGAAAACTCACACATTGTGTGGCAGCTCTCAGAAGCACTCATGAGGCTGTTCCCTTACACTTTTAAGGAACTATGCTGAATCCAAACACTAGCATGTTTTGTTCCAGTATGAAGTCATCCCTGTCCTTCTGCTCCCAGTCTTCGTTGTTTCTCAGATTTATACCAGTTACCCTAACAATCCTTGTATCCTCTAATGTTGAAAAGGCTCCTATGCATACACCTTATAGAGTAGGTTGACAGGGTGCTTCCAGGGTGCTTGGAAATTCTAAAATCATCCAAATATTTTTATTAGAGAGGCAGTGGAGAAGATGTATTCAGTCACAAGAGGCAAAAAATTCCACCACCAATTGCTTTCAGATCATAGGAACATTTATTAGTAGTGTTTCTTTTAGCTTGCAGCCCTGCTTATCTTTATATTATGGTTAATTTCAAAATAATACCTGTCTTAGACAAAAAAAAAACAAAGCAGAGTAACATTTATGGAAATCAGACTTCCAGATACATTTTTCGTTTTGAAAACAAAATGGACATGACATTCTCGAGCCTCATATTTATGTGAAGTATAAAATAGTGTGAACCTTCTCTATACACAATGGAGATCATTAATATTTGCAGTACATTATGATTATTCATACTCAGCACACTATGGTTTCTGGCATTGCTTCCGCTATTATTTTATGCATTCATTTCTTTTATGTTTTCCTAGTCTAATATAGAGCGTGGTTGATTTATTTCCTAATCCATGTGAATGTGAACTTCCTCGGGTGGCTGAAAGACTTACGCTTTTGTAATTCTCCTACACCCAGCAAGAGCCAAAGGGAAAAGGTTTTTATTCATTTAGTAATCTGTTTCTTTTCTTATTTTTTTTTCCTCGAATCTCAGCTTGGAAACCAGAAAGTAACTGCCCCTGTGATGGAGGTAAATGCTTCACAGACACACAGACAAACAGCAACAGAAGCTTCTCCACTGCCTCTTCCTTCTCCCGTGGTACCAGTTAACAGAGCCTCTTTCTCACCAGACAGTAGCACCCATCTAGTACCATATTCTTTGCCAACGCTTGATGATTTTTTGCCTTCACATTTTTATAAAACCCCAGCCCTTTCACAATTTTCGTATAAATGCCCATACCTAGCTTCTGAAAGTATTATCCACAGGAATGAAACAGCCTCTGTAAGCACAGATTCTGCCATGAGTGAGTGCTCCTCCCGCACAGTGAGTGAGTCCTCCACAGCCATTCTAGATGAGCTGCAGACTTGTAGCTATGATACTACTGACTGCTCTGAAACACCTTCCCCAACCTTGAGCCAGATGTCTGCTGTGTCAGATGGCACCACCTTAACCAACACTGCTGCCACTTCTCATGTAATTATGCTTCCTTTTTTCTTCATCCATTTTGTTCAAACAGGTTGTCAAAGGGGAACAGAATTTGAACTTGTCTGTTATCCTGTTACACATACAAGTATTTTGTTAGTAGTTTTCCATGTATGCAGTCTGACAGTGTTTTGCAACAGTTGTTTAAAAAAAATCATTGGCATATCAGATTTGGTAGTAGGAAATGATATTAAGTTGTCACACACTTGTGTGGTCAGCTAAGGTGTATCAAACACATTGCTTAAAGTAAAAGAAGATAAGTTCAATAAATATCTGTTCCAAATGCATCAAAAGCAAGCAAGTACAGTTTGAAGAGATTTATTTAAAATACTGTTAGCAATATACTGCCTTGTATATTTGTATATGTTTGTAGCCTTTGGGCTACCACCATTTTTGGTTTATACTGAGATACAGATATCAGTAATGTAATTTGTAAATTCATAGTAAATGTTGGCAACATTTAATGCAGTTTTTTCCCCAGCTGTGACCACCGATTGCATGAAACTGATTTTCTCTCCTCTAACTAACCTTTTACTCTCCTAAGCACAGTTTCTTATAGGACTGAACTTCATAAATAGTCTTGTATTACCCAGTTGTCCTCTTCTCTTTGTTAAGTCAAGGAAAACAAACAGTATGCAGTTAGACACTTCATGTACATTCCCTTTTCTGTATCTCAGTACACTCTTATATGTGTAGAAAGAAGATATGGAATTTGGGTCAAATCCAGATCACTTCTGATTTCTTTTGAGATTATCCACATGATTAAAATGAGTCAGAACAAAGCCTTCATTTAAATTGAGCAATTTGTTGCTGAATTGCAAAACAGAGAGATGTTCTGAATCCAAAGTTTTATTGGGTCACACCAGTGTTCAAACTTTGTACAAATGCTTCAGCATACTGTAATTTTCAAGTCTGAAAAGAACAAACAGTGCATATATTTTTAAAGCTTCATATATATTTTACAAAAAGTATTTTGAGCCCAACCTTTCACGTAGTCACCTGGAAAGTCAATGATCTGTTTTCAGTGCTCTGGATGCTGCTAAAAAAGTAATATTAATAGGAGGCATGTAAAAGCTGTAATTCCCAACTCTTGTAATACAGCTCTGAAACCATTTTATTTTTTTTAGAATCAGTACTATGAATCTGCATACAACCCAGTAGTTGTAACCAGAGATACCATTATTAGTACAGTCTGGTCAGACACGGTCACTGCATGACCATTTACGAGCTATGGGAAGCATGGAACATTTATATTTTCTTCTAGCCTACTTCTAAAATAGCTACCTCTATTTGTTTTCTTTGAGCACCATTTTTTGCAAGCTAAAGCAAACGCTTGGTCCTTTTTTCCTTTTTTGTGTAGTCTCCCTGTAGAAGGCTATGTAATAGTCAGATCTGCCCCCCACTTTCTCTTGTA